GGAGCGTGTGTCAGCAGGGTTTTAAATTTTTTTTCTCAGTTTGCGCATGTGCATAGGCACCCCTCCATAAAATGGGGGGGTGAAACTATCATGGCGCATGCGCAGAACCACCAGGGCGAATCAATCCAACCCCTCCAACAAAAGACTTCCCTTTAAACGTTTGACCCGGAAATGGCCTCCGTGAGATCCCAAACTCATCCAAACTCTAAAACAAGTGACCATTTAAATGTCGGTTTTCTAAACACGGTAGTGTAGCTCCACCTATGCGCACACGGCCAACGCAGTTTAAAAAATGGGCAGCTTTTGAGCGGGGAGGGGGTTTAAACCAGCAGTGGCTTGACACCGGAGAAGCGATCACACAGGGGGAAAAGGAGGCTTTAAACGGGAGAGCTGAGAAAACACCACTTTGGGACCTGGTAACAAAATACTCTGTTAAAGCGGTTTTGAGCCGGAAACCAATGGCTGGGGATGGGAGGCAGATGTTGACTGTGTGACCGTGCAGCTAAAATCCGTTGCTGAAGCGTGACGACACCAGATCAAATGGCGCGTCTGAACGCACCTGGAAACTTTGGTTGCGGATTCGGGAGAGGGCGGGGTTTGGGGAGGGGAGGGGCCTCAGCATGTTACAATGCCATAGAGTCCACCCTTCAAATCAGCCATTTTCTCCAGGGGAGCTGATCTCTGTCAGCTGGAGATCAGTTGCAAAAGCCTGCGATCCCCAGGCCCCACCTGGAGGCTGGCAACCCTATCCCCAGGCCCCACCTGGAGGCTGGCAACACACACAGCTTATGTTTTACTAACTGGTCTTTTCTGGTACTGCAGTGATTTAAAAATGTATGAATACAGAAAGATGGGGTATAAGTATTTGTAATAAATACTTATTATGTTTTCTGTATATATCATAATTAATATGGATGTATAAGGGTGCGTGTATGCGTACTGAGTTACTGTTCCTTTAAAAAAATTCTTAATAGTGCTTGCTAGCGTTGCCAGCCTCCAGGTGAGGCCTGGAGACCTCCAGCTTTTACAACTGATCTGCAGCCAACAGAGATCAGCTCGCCTGGAGAAAATGGCTTCTTTGAAGGGTGGACTCTAGTCTATGACATCCTACTATGCTGAGGCCCCTCCCCTCCCCAAACCCCACCCTCTCCTGGATCCACCCCCAGAGTTTCCAGGTGTTTTCCAACCCAGACCTGGCAACTCTAGTGCTTGCAATTTTGGGAGATTTTCTTTTTTTCTTCCTGATGTTGCTCTTGTTTTAAAACAAACAAACAATGATTGCCGTTTGATCTCTTAGCCACCCAGGTGAGAGGTGGAATACGATACGACAGGCGCGGCCACCAGTCTTGTAACCGTGGGGCACTTGCCCTTTTCCAAGACGCCTCTCCACCCAACTTTTCACCCCGCGTGCCCTCTTCCAAGATGGCCGCTCCCCGCGCGCCGCCCTACCCCCGACGT